TTACAAAATAGGTGGGAAGAAAATGTTATGGATTGAGAATTGTGTTTGAGAAAATAAAGGTAAAAATATCATTTTTACCTTTATTTTCTTGTAATATTAATATGTAAAAATTCGTAAATAATCTTATAATAAAAAAAATTAGAGAACTTTAAGAGAAAAGTTTTTCCCTACCAAACACCCCATTTAATTCTAAATTTTGTTTAATGAGCTTTAAAAACAAGAACTAATAATTACGATGAACACCAAATAATACAATTTAAAAGGGATGGGGAAGAAGAAAAACTTGCTTAATTGATCTAAGCTAGGATTTTGAGTTCCCTATAATTAAACGGAGGAAGAAAAACAAAGCTTAAGCCCTTGTTTGGATAGAAAATAGTAAAGGGAAGGGAAGGGAGGGGAATGGAGGAAAATAAAAGGAAATGGAGGGGGAGGAAAAGAAAGGGAAGGGAAGAAAATAGAAGGAAATGATTTGTGTTAATTTTATTTGGATAAATAAAAATGAGGAAGGGGAAGGGAAGGGAAGGGAAGGATTGTATTATTTTATGTTTGGATAATTAAGGTAAAAGGAAAGGAAAGAAGGAAAAGATTTAAATTAATTTTAAATTTATAAATTTATCCTTTAAACTTGTAATGGAGAAGGATATAATAAAAAAATTAAAGTTAATTTTGTAATTATATTTAACCTAATCTAAATAGCCACTCAAATCCCTCCCAAACCTCCCAAATCGGGCGGATTGCAAATCTGCATATTTGAGGGTGGTTGGAGGGAGTCCAAATCAATCCATCTCCCTCCTCCTCTGCCTCTTTGGAAACCCAAACAAGAGGAAGGAGAAAGCGCTCCCTCGCTCCCTCGCTCCCCCGCTCCCCTTCTCTTGCCATCCGTCCCCATCCCTTCCCCTCCCTCTCCGTCCGACACCTCCAATCCAAACAATACCTAAATGTTGAAGGCCAAAAGAAAAGGAAAGGAGAAAAAAAAAAGAAAAAAAAGAAGAGGGTCTTAAATGTGGAGGAGTAATGGAATGTTAAACATGAGAAATGAAAGGGAAGTAAACTGAAGAAGGCGGGATTAAGATTTAGAGCGAAGACTTTCCAATTTTCGTTAACGACGTTAACGCTTACTAATTTCACGTTAAATGCTCTCTCTCGTTATATTGATGAGCTGTATCCATTGCTGAGATGTTGCTTTTTTATTGGTTCGGGAAACCGCGCTATCCACGTCATATTTTAGCAATTAGATACTAAATGTCGCTTTGGGGCGACCCCTAATCCCTTCTCAGTCTCGAGTATTGCAGGGCAGGTGTTTGCTTTGCCTTCACACCTAATTTATCTTTCCTAGAACTGTTCTATGTCCTAGAACAAACAATAGCGGACGTCGTTCTTCTGTATTTTCTTCCTTATTTCAACAACTCAAGGTTGGAGCCTACTTTGATCCACTGGATGAAGAAGGTCGAGGTGGATTTTCAGATTTAACGGATATTGGGGGTTTTAGCAATGGCTGGATGGATCTGATTACGGGATACAATCTCTTAATAGCATCCCAAGATTTTGACTCCTGGTGGTCTAGGAGATGATAAGGGGTTAGATCTTGCTAAGGTAAGAGTATAAGACTCTCTGTTCTACCTTAGCTCTGGTCTTACCTCTAGCTCAGATTTACCCTGTTTTTCAAATTTTGATTCACCCTGTTTTTCATTTTTTGGTTTACCCTGTTTTTCATTTTCTGATTTGCCCTGTTTTTCATTTTCTGATTTACCCTTTTTTTTTTTTTTTGATTTGCCCTGTTTTTCATTTTTTTGATTTGCTTTGTTTTTCATTTTCTGATTTACCCTGTTTTTCTCTTCTTCTTCTTCTTTTTATTTGCCCTGTTTTTCATTTTTTGATTTACCCTGTTTTTCATAAGGGCATCTCCAAGGTTGGAGCCTAATTTGATCCACTGGATGAAGAAGCTCGAGGTGGATTTTCAGATTTAACGGATATTGGGGGTTTTAGCACTGGCTGCATGGATCTGATCACGGAATGCAATCTCTTAATATCATCCGAAGATTTTGACTCCCGGTGGTCTAGGAGATGATAAGGGGTTAGATCTTGCTAAGGTAAGAGTATAAGACTCTCTGTTTTACCTTAGCTCTGGTCTTACCTCTAACTCAGATTTACCCTGTTTTTCAAATTTTGATTTACTCTGTTTTTC